TTAAAATATGTGCTTCGAAAATTGTGTAACTATTTTTTGTTTTTTTTTATAGTTTACTAAAAATAAGAAAGTGTCTTGTATATATTTAAGTGGTGTAATATGTACATTAGACACTCGTCGATGTAACTGCATACTTCGCGTTAATATAAATGTAATTAAAYAAAAGATTTATGTACTCTATCGATCAAACATAGATTTGATCTCGTTATGGTTATTTTTATGGCGATATACATAATTGTGTATGCATTTTGTAATACGATGCAAGGTGCAATATTGTTTATTTTTTTATTTTGAAAGCGGTGTTTATTAATTTTTATATATTGTGATATATTCACAATTATTTAAGTTTTTTATAATGTGTCTTGAATAATTTCCTGTATGTATTTGTAATTATATTAATCGACTAATAATTTTTTATGAAATAAAAATATTTTTTATTCATATATTGCATATTAAAAAAAGCATGCATCAGAGACATGCATTTTTTCATATTCGGTTGTGTTTAAATATAGAAAAACGCATTTTCTAACGCATCGAGAATTCGGTATTTTTAAATGTCCACTTTTTGGTCATTTTTTAATTCTTTATTTTTTCAATTTTTCATTATTTATTAAATAATTCAATTGAAAAGTTTTGATTGTGAATCGTACATCGAGTTTCATTTTTCCACACATGCCCTTTTTATCTAGTTTTTTGTTATAGAAAGTACTTTATTTTCAAGCTGTAAGGTTTAATATTGCAAAATACCATTTTATCAATGGATATTTACAACAATATCTGCAGTAGTATCCCAAGGTTTGTAAATGCAATCATTTAGGATATAAAAATAAATAATAAAAATTATGTATAAGTTATACGTAATAATATAAAATTAATTTTTGTTTTAGGTTCATCGATATTGGCAAGATTCTATTCCACTGTTTCTAGTTTATGTTCTCGTAGTAGTCATGGTTTGGTTTTTCTGTTAAATGTATGAATGTATGTGTGTGTGTGTGTGTGTGTGAACAAATTTTTGGTATTTGGTTTAGAGTATATCAATTATAATAATATTCTTTGATAGTTTGTATTGTACCGTCATCGCGTTAAGTACATACTATCGTCCAATGGTGGTCCCAGTGGTAACAAAAATGATGCTGAGTAGATAAAAAAGGGGACTTGTGAGTTTCTATATACTTCACCATAAAAAAGTTGGCATAGAACCGCAACAGCAGAAAAAAATGAAAAAATGAAAATATTTACCTATTGTTTATACCTTATGAACGATTAACTTATTTCTTTTTACTACCTTATAGATTGTTACTTTGGAAATCAACTTTAAATATATCCCCTGCAGGTATACTAACTTTACTTTCATTTATTTCCAAGTGTGCTTGCGCCTTGAATTTGTGATTGCGCATGTGTATAACATATCTCTCACTCATGACATAGCCATTTCATAATTATTCAAAGTGAAATAATTATTTTCATCTAATTAAAAATAAATAAAAAATATTTGATAAAATAAAGTTCAGCAATAGTGTGCAATTAAGGGCACTTATTCATTTTTTTCTGCTGTTAAGGTTCCTTACCAGCGTTCCTACGGTAATTTTTTTCAATTTCGAATAAAATATGTACGACAACGTTATCGACGGAACAGCTTTGAATTCTATGATGCAACACTGGGTGGCGTATAAATTAGTGTCGATTTTTGTTGTGGTTATTGCCTTTATGAAAACTTACTGTGCAGAAAATAGTCTTTAGTGAGATATATTAAAGAAGAAGACAATATTTATGAGAGTGTGCATTGTTTAAATTTATATATTTTTGCAATGGGCTTTATATCAGAGCCATTATTATTTGCTATCGCATTAATCAATACCGGATCTGTGCTCTTTCTTTTAGTGTACTTTGTATCCTTTCTTTATTTGTAATAATTTACATATGACATTTACATGTAGCATTTACCCTCTTATGTCGTATTTTAATATTATATTCACATACATATTATTATTATTATTTTCAAGTTTTTACTAGGGATTTTTATTGATTGTATTATTATTGCAATATGGCTAACATGTACCGGCGCTGCATTTGATTTTACTTTATACTTTTTTTAATTTCATTGTAAATATATGTTTTTTAATGTTGTTAATTTAATCAGTTTTTTACTCTGTGACACTTCCACTGTATTTTGCTTGACATATTCATATTTATAGATGATCACATTATCAGATCTTGAATGTGATTATTTAAATGCTCAACAATGTTGTTCAAAATTGAATGCGGTAAATATTATACCATATTATATTATGCAAATTATTTTAACCCTTTGAGTGCAATGGATGCATATATGCGTCCAACGAAAGCAATCCGTATGGTCTAAGAATGTATATATGCTTTTATCAATTTTGAAGACTTACCTTGAATTGAGATTCTTTTTTTTCTATCTTTTATTTTATCCAAATAGTTCACATTAACAGAAAAATCATTCTGTCTCTAGCGATTGCAATCGTTAAGCGCTCTCTGTTTCCAAATCGTTAATTATGTAAAATTCATGAAATTACTTAAATTCATTATTGTATTACATTTAATTGGCAAGTAATATTTAACGTTGCTAATCATTTATTGTATTTTGCAGTGGGTTACTCCAAAGTTAGTGACGCATACATTTTTGGTATTTTTGTTATTAATACATGGCCAATTAATATTAACTTTGGTTAATTTACCTATGACTTTATGGTTGTTCTATGAGTATTTCAGTGTTCCTAGTGGAAATATGGGTGTATATGATCCTACAGAGATCCATAATCGTGGAGAATTAAAAAGACATACTAGGAATTGTTTAATTTATATTGGATATTATTTAATATTCTTTTTCCTTTATCTTTACTGGTAAGTTATATTTTATATATTTACAGATTTTTGCTTAACTAATTTATTTTTTTTTATAATAACTTAATTATTTCTTTCGTAGTATGATCATTGCATTGTTGAAGGGAGATCCGGTAAATAGAAATGCGGATGATCTTGTAGACTTCTAACCAAATAAATAATTCTTATATATGTTTTATACTTGCGCGATAATATTGTGTGTATAGCAATTATTTTTTTGCGATACATTAATCTCATATATGTTGTTTAGAATGTATCATTGAAATTAGTTCACATTCAGACGTCTGTATTCAAGCAAATTTCTGGATTAATGAAGTAATATTTGGTTTATATCAAAAATATTGTTAAGGTACTATTTTATTGTTACATCAATTTATATAAATAATTTTTATATAAGAACAAATTACAAAATTATTTAAAATAAAAAAAAACTCATATATATGTATATATATATGGGAGAGAGAGAAAGAGATTATGAGATATATACCGGGTATCCTGTAACTAGTGGTACAAGTGAACTGAGGATGATTCTACATAAAAAACTAAGTCGAAAATGTAGAATATATTCCCTGAATTAAATACACACATACTTGACAAATTTCCAAACTTATTTTTCTTAAAAACAAAGTCTTATATGAACAAATTGTTTTCAACATTTTCGACTTAGTTTTTCATGAGAAATCACTCCCTGCTGTCTTATACAATCACTTACAAGACACTTTTTATATGAGAAAATAATTAGAAAGTATTTATGAATCATAGAAATATAAAAAATTCGAATGGTAAATCATGTTGCAAGTTAATATTTGAAATTTACAGATTCTAGTCTTAAAAATATATATAAATACCAATTTCTAATACACTAGTTAATATAATTAAAAGACTAATACACACACACACACACAATAATATTTTAATATTATATGATAAATATTTATAAGATCATTTCAAAAGAGTCTCTATATCTTTGATCCTATCCAAAAAGCATCTATATGCATTTATATAAATACAATGTTCTTTAATTAGCAAGTATATATTGCTAAATATAAAATATTTCTATTGAGTGCCAAATCTTATTTTTTAACAAGTTAATTATATATTTTCAAATGTATATCGACAATAACAGACACATGTCTCGAAAGTAATTGTGGCTCTAATGTAAATATATATAACGTTTGTTTTATAAGCTTCATCAATTTCAAAGGTAATAATATTGATAATATTATACTCGACGACACACACGCGTTGACGATTATTTTACGCGTTCGTTTTATACCAAATTGACTTAAGTTTAATAGCAAGGAGAAAAGAACGGATCGATTTAATAGATGCGGTAAAGGTGATTAGTCTTTCTTTCATCGAAGGACGTGCATTTATTTTTAGATATGTGTATACATAAGGGGAGTGTACTGATTTGCAGAATTTTCTCCCTAAGTTAACATAATCAAAACTATTTTTATATTCTTGTAATATATCGATGATGATATCGACATTTTTAATTAATAATTAAAATATAAATTTTTCATTACTTAAAGATTATCTTTATAAGATAAAGAAGGTTTAAACGAGATGCGACTGAAGATACGACAAGCTTTGAAAGATGCGATGCATAATTAAGGAAAAAAAACGCGGAAAAAGACCTGAAATATTCCATATCTATAGATCAAAAAAAAGTTCGATATCATTGTTGCTACGTAAGCAACGATTTATACATGATCGAACTAATGTATTTTTAATGGTCTTTGATAAAGCTAAAGCCGGCGCATCAGATTAAAATCAATTTAAGCGTAATAAACCCGCGCGTCGTAATTGTAGGTGTGCCTATTGGAGTGCCACCTGGTGTCGATTAATCGTAGTTAAAATAAGCGGCGGCGGCGACTACTGCTCGGTGGTTTTTTCGCACGACGGCGCGCGCGAATGGTTGTCGCGAATTTTCTCCAGTCAGACAAGTGAATGTGTATACTTGCTATTAGTGTTCGTTATAGAAAATTGTTCTAACGAGGTGCACGATGATCGTGTAGAGTTCCTATTATTCTACCAGTTTGAATTCATTTGATAAAACTCTGGTGTCAAACTTTTTCACGTGCGTCTGACTTTGCGGAGATGCGATATGCAAAACTTTTTTATTTTACTTTCTATATGTGTCAATGGATTGAGTTTATGATGATGAATTGATTAAGATCATTTACATTTCAAAACAAAATCTAGAGAAACTTATTTTCTATAAAGAAAAAAAGACGAAAGATAAATTGAGATAGATAGAAAGAGATAGAAAGCAGGAGTGAGGGAGATAGACAGAGAGTTTGACGTTCGCTCGATCGTACTCTTGGGGAAAAGGAGATAGGGAGAGCGTGTCCGAGAGAAAGAGGGAGAATTTTGCGAGGGTGAGAGAAATAGAGAAAAAGCCGTGCAGGGAGCCAGAGGGAGACAGTGGAAACAGGAACGGCGACGACGCGCTGCCGTTTATAAGACACAAGATCGTTGTTGCCTTCCGTTACGTGCATTAAGTGCGTGTGTGAGATTAGATGAGATGAGATGAGATAAAATGAAATGAGATGAGATGAAATAAGATGAGATAAGATGAGATGAAATGAAATGAGATGAGATGAGATTGGTTGGTCTAAGAGCGTAACGGGGTGATCCACGAGGTACCCCTGATGTTGAAAACGTTATCCATGAAGCTATCGTCGACGACGTCGTCGTCGTCGTCGCCGCCGCAGCAGCAGCCGCAGCAGCCGTCGTCGTCGTCGTCGTCGTCGTCGTCGTCGTCGCCGCTGCCGCCGTCGTCATCGTCGTTGTGGCTATTGTGGCCTTCATCGTGGCCCTTTAAATCCTCTTTATTGTCATCTTCTTCTTCTTTTTCTTCTCTTTCTTTATCTGCATTGCTGTCTACATCTTCTTCGTCATTGTCGTCGTCGTCGTCGTCGGCCTCTTCTTCTTCTTCCTCTTCCTCTTCTTTTTCATCATCATCATCATTATCATCATTATCCCTGTCTTTGTTGTTACCATCGATTTTAACATTACCCCCGATTTTATTCTACCAGTGGTCTTGAACAACATTGTTTATATTCATCCAGACTCTCGTTTCTTTCCTTTCAAGCCGATGTTAAAAGTTATTCAGTGCCTGCAAATTATATACTTGTACGGTATTACCAAGTCAGGATGGCAGTCAATAAAGCACAAATTAATGCTGTACAGACCAAGCCTGTTGAGGTCTCTCAGCAGCTACAGGATGGAGAGAAGTTTATTAAATGGGATGAGGTAAGTATCATTCCTTTCAGTAATAATGTAATAATGTAACCATCTAGCTGCAACTATATAGCATTGGTATTTTAGTATCAATGCAATAATACTACAATTGACAAGTAGAATATAGTCGATGCTGTGCTACATTGCGGAGCTATTTTGTATGCGATAAAAGAGTTTTCATTCCATTAGATGCTCTAAGTTGATTTTTATATATCATCCGTTTATTTATATATATATATATATCGTATATATATATGTATTAAAGTATATATTATATTTACTTAGTTAATTTTACTTATATTTAATTAGTTATAAATTTTTTCATGCTATTTATACGTAGGATTCTGGAGTTGCAACGCCAGTAACATTGAAAGTAGATAAATTTGGTTTTTATCTGCATTGGGTAGATCAAAATAATGAGATGGATATCTTGGACATAGCTACAATACGAGATACACGCACAGGAAAATATGCCAAAATACCAAAGGTAGTAGCTTTTTATCTCCTGCTACTCTAATACTCTTTGATTATATATTTTTTTTATTTTCCTATTTGAATGTTTTATTTTGATGTATGAATTTGTTCTTAAAATTTGTATTAAATATCTTACATATGCTGTATGCTATATGATATGTATCACCTGTGCTTACTCGGAGAAAGATAAGAGTATTTAACAATGCATATATGCATCACTGCAACAGATACGGATATTGCTTTGAGGGATATCTATAATTAAACCATGTCTTTGAGTAGATGATAATGACGCACAACACTACATAATAATTATTGATAAAAGTATAAATAGAACATTACCTACTTTATGTACTTTCTATAAGTTCAGTATTTTTCTTTATTCTTCCTACCTTGGATACAGTTGAAAACAATGCTAGTCTCATAGAAAGGAAAGTAGTTCTCATTATCGGTTTTCCCATAAATCAATATAGATAATAATGAATACATTTCTACGGCTTGCATAATCTAGTTTAAATATTTTTACTCGTTTGAATAATGTTAATGTAACCAAACTTATTAAATACTTGAAAAATAATAAGAAATAATAATTCTAAATAATCTCTACTTTTATGAGATTCAAAGGGTTTCTTAAAATGGGAATAATTTGATTTGCAGGATCCGAAACTAAAATCTTTAGTAACTATGGGATCTCAAGATTCTTTAGAAGACAAAACTGTAACAATCTGCTATGGATCTGACTTCGTTAATGTGACATTTATTAATTTTTGCACAACACGTGCTGAGATCGCACAACATTGGACTGATCATCTTCTGCAATTAGCATATAATTTAACACAACTAAATACAAGTACGACTATGTTTTTGCAGAAGGCACACACAAGATTAGTATTAACAGCTGACAAGTTGGGTAAAATACCGGTGAAGAAGTATGTCCTATTTTGCTATTACAACTGATGTATTTGTGTATCCAAAGTCAGATCCTATTAAACATATATTCTAACTGAATTATGTTTCAGTATAATCAGAATGTTTACGCAAAATAAAGAAGATCGTAAGCGTGTTGAAAAAGCTCTTGATATATCAGGTCTACCATCTGGAAAAGTAAGTTAACATTGTTATTTATATTATTATACTTTAGAACTACGTTATTATTGATCTTTATAATAATAGTTTGAATGTTAAGAATTTGTACTCTTTACAATAGAAAATGTTTAATCTCGTTTCAGAACGACACTGTACCACTTCAAAAATTTCAATTCGAAGATTTTTTTAATTTTTATAAATCTCTTACTCAGAGATCAGATGTAGAAAAAGTATTTGAAGGAATTGTCGGCAATACTAAACGTAGATTAATGTCTGTTAAGCAGTTTGTAGAGTTTTTAAACAAAACGCAAAGGGATCCGCGATTAAATGAAATACTTTATCCATACGCGAACGAAGCAAGAGCAAAAGACATAATAATACAATATGAACCAAATAAATATAATGCTAATAAAGGACAATTAAGTTTTGATGGCTTTTTAAGATATTTAATGAGTGAGGATAATCCAATTGTTGCTGTCTCCAAATTTGAACTTTCCGATGATATGGATCAACCACTTGCTCACTACTTTATAAATTCTAGTCACAATACTTATTTAACAGGTATGTGTAGGAGTTTCTAAAAACATCGTTTTATTGATTATGTGTGCATGTATATTAATTATGTAGTTTATTTTTATTAAAGGATAATTGTGGATTCCGATTTTAGGTCATCAGCTTACTGGAAAAAGTTCTGTTGAAATTTATCGTCAGTGTTTACTTGCTGGCTGTCGTTGTGTTGAACTAGACTTTTGGAATGGAAAGTTCGATGAACCTGTTATTGTACATGGGTAATTTATAATTTAAAAAAATAATACAATAAATGACGAAATTCTTTAATGGACTTTAATTTATGTTAATGTCGTTTTCTTAGGTATACATTTGTACCTGAAATTCAAGCACGAGATGTTATAGAGGCAATTGCTGAGAGTGCCTTTAAAACATCGGATTTTCCTGTAATACTCAGTTTTGAAAATCACTGCA